AAATTTTGCCTTCGAGTCTCCGTGATATTTTAGCGATGACATTCGAACGAGACTTTCATACTTCGCAAGAGAATAAAGATAAGCAGAAACAAAGAGATGTTTAATCTCACTTGAAACCAGATTTCCAAAACAAAGTCAGTTCCCAACCTAGGATAAACCAGAATTAGCTAAACTTCAAAAGAAAGAGAGTTTTAAAGTTGGGAAGCTTAAAATAGTTTACACATCGAATCAAAAGTAGGGGAAGATCAAGCGAAATCCTCAAAATACGAAATTTGGATAACAAAAAGAAGACTCAATCACACTTCAAAATTGTTGCCGTGTGGATGGGAAAAAGGGTTGCAAGAGTATACAAGAAGACAAGAATTTAAGAAAGGCAACACGACTGCTTTGTATTCACGAGTCCACGATTCACTATTTTCATCATCGGTTCAAGCTGCTCCCTTCGTTTAAGCCTTCTCCTTTCGAGATGGCTCGCGAATGGTCCTCATCCGAAGACACCAAAAATACATCGAGAGGACTGTTATACACAGAACTCAGCTCGACAACATAATATCGAATTTCTAAACAAACAAAACCTCAAGTTAGAACTTAACTCTATAACGCTAGAGTTCAAGTTCATACAGCTAAGGTTCGCCACTCATCAAGAGTTCCATAACGTTTAAAAGTAGGAGGATAAATTCCTAAGCCCCGATTTACATATCATATCATTTCATTTCAATAATCAGGCAATTATAATCCATTCACACTCATTCATTAATCTCGTACCTGAGCTGGCGAGGCACGACGGAAGCGAGTGGTCATAACTATATCATAGAATTCACATATTTTCCCAGAGTTCTCATAATTCAAGTGTACCAGCCTACAGAAACGCAGACTGGCTCTGATACCAAACTGTAACGCCCCACTTTTATTTTCCGAAAATCAGAATAAATTTTTCAAATTCATTTCAAAACACCTGAGGCGCTACTCATTTTCAAAGCAAACTTTAATACTTAATCAATTTCTCAATACTCAACTAATCATCAAACTCAATGTTTCCAACTCCCAAAACGGATATTCCCAAAAATTCATCAATCTCTCAAACTGGGTTCCAACAATATTCATAGTATCCAAGGAGCACCTCCTTTAACATAAATTCAACCTCAATATCCATAAGTCATAAATTCAATACTATCCCATGTTCTCAAATCACAAATCAGTTCATAATGCGGAAGCATAAATAACAATAACACCGGTCTCATAGACCGACCACCACTCGCTCTACTCCGCCGTCGTACCTGCCTCGCTTAACCTGAAACGTGAGTTTCAGGTGGGGATGAGCACAGTTGGAAAAAGTAGTGCTCACCACTATGCAATAAACATTTTCATAACAGAAATAGTATGATCACAACATGTATAAGAATCAATCAAGTATCCCCAAACTTTCATCATAAATTCACAGTGTTCATACTCATGTGCACATCTATATCAATAGACTACTGCCGGTAGACGCATCGAATGCCCCACGGGCTTCTATCGAACGCCCCATGGGCTTTACGTCTCCGCCCTCCGGTCTTACACATCGAATGCCCCATGGGCTTCTATCGATGCCCAGTCAGTAGGAGTAACCCCTCGGGTTTTCATTTCATAAATACGGAACAACCGTTCGACGGCCGGTACAGCTCACATCGAAGGCTACATGACTCGTACGCACACATTGATCATATACGAGTAAAGTAAACAATTTATTGCATAGACGATTTTTAAATAAAACCCACCTGGTCGCAAATAGGAGATAATCTCGAAAGCACGATTAGGTTGCGAGCTCGGCTCGTCAAACACCTACATTAAGTCCAGATTCTATATCAACATCTATTCTGTCTTAGACGGAAAATCACAATCATACTTCGTCGAACTTGATTCAACTAAGTTGTTCGTGAAGTCCTGTGGACATTGGAACACTTAGACTTGACCTCTAGACTTAACCAATTACTCATGGGAGTTCACATAATCCAAAAATAAACATTGACCAAGTCAAACACTTAATGAAATAAATGACGAGTCGGTTAACAGTTTTTATTCTAAAACCATATATACGAAAATGCTAGTTTAAATCACAAAAATGATTTGACCAGGTTACCATACGAATTTGACCCTAAAATTTTAACCAAAATTTTACCTTCCAGAGTTAAGCAAATACACAAATTTTTAGCTTCAAATCTCAAGTACATTATTTTATAAAATTCCCACAAGATATCAGCAAAACCGAGCCATGAATTTATACTCAAACTTAATGAATGATTCAGGACTTGAAAATTTTACACCACATACTTCAGAACGATATAAACAACATATAAAAATATCAGCCCTTAACATTAACTGCTGCTATTTTTAAAAATTCAAACGAGATTCAGCAGTTTATCAAATTTAAATCAAAATCGAACCGAAATGAACTCCAAAAATTTTCATATTTTAACAGCATGAATAATTACATAAAATAAGAACCTCAGCCAAGTTTCAGAATTTTCCAGCAAGAATTCAATTTACTAAAATTAAATTATGAAGCTGCAGAATACAACAAACAATTTTTTTAAATATAGCAAACGAAGTCCAAAAATTCCAAAACTTTTACACGACCTAGAAAACATAAAGTGAGACAACATATTCAAATTTCGTAATTTTTCAGGCACAACGGAATTTACTATGCAATTTACAAAATTCAGCTCAGATTTCCAAACAATTACTAAAAATAGCTAAACTTATTATTTAAACCTGAAATTTTTACAAAACATGTATTTACAGCAGAGGGTCGAGCACACAAAATTTCACATTGATACGAGCATCACAGAATTTATCATAATTTATACATCAAAACAGCAATTAGACAATTTCAATAATTCATAACCGACTCGTTTTAAGACGAATCCGTCCGAAGTCTTTGCCATAAGACTAGGGACGACGTAAGTTCCAGTCCACAGCAACAAATTCACGAGTTGACGAGGCCTCATTCGATTTTCCAAAATCGAAAGACTCGTCAACGCACAATTTCATAAACGACACAAATAATCTAAAGGATACGCATAAAATCACATAGGCATATATTCTTGAATTAATCCTTCATACACGTAAATCAAATACACCACATAAACGAGACGTAATTAAACGAGACGAGTCGAGCCTTGTACCGTTCTCGGGAAAAATAAACGTTCGAACGAACGGTTGACGGGCTCGAACGAACGGCACGCGAAAACGGCTCGAGACTCGACGGCAAGCTTCGTCTCGTCGGGAAAGGAGAGCTACTCGTCGCTGAGGAGGAAGAGGGTCGTCGCCTTGCAGCGGCTCGGGAGGCGTTGCTGCTCATGTCTGAATTCGTCGGCTCGCGGTGGTGTGTGGAGGGGGTCAACGCCGTTGCTGCTGGGACCTGCTCGTGTTGATAGAGGGTGGCGGCGGAGCTCCACAACGTCTGGTGGCTCGTGACGGAGCAGGGCTGCAAGTCACCGGCGGCCAAGGTTGCAGCGGGGCGGAGCTTCACGGTGAGGGTCGTCGGGCTGGTCTCTGTCTGCCGCGGAGGTCTGTGCACCGGCGGGAAGGGGTCGCTGAACTCGCCGGAATTGGGCCTGGGGTCCTGTCGCGAATGGCCTGACGAGGTGCTCGCTGGACTTGCAGTCGCGAGGAGATGGGGTCGCGGACGATGGTGAACTCGACGATGAGAGGATGATGAATGGGATGAGGTGATTGCGAGACGATGATGGTGACAGATGACAATGGGTTCTTGTCTTTTTCCTTTGCGATGGAGCGAGAGAGATTTAGGGTGATGGGGCGCGATTGGAAGAAGGGGAGAGATATCCAAAGCTGCGGGAATGAATTGTGACTTAGGGTTAAAGGCTGGGAGTCCAAGACACACACAACACACACTTGGCGGGCCGGATTGGTTGGGCTCGGATTTGGGCCGAATTAACGGGCTCACGGGTTGGGTTCAATGAAACGTATCGGCTCTCGGGCCCGACTACGTAGAAGTGATACAGAATTCTCGGGCTTGATAATTAAATTCGCACAATTACATAAACAAACCAAATATATAATATATTTTCATAATACACAATTAATAAAATAATAATAACAATAATAGTAAAAATATAAATACTCAATTTGACAATTTATAATAATAGCATTTAGACATTTAGACAATTAGACAATTTTGCAACTAGATCACATTAGACATTGAAATAATTTTAGCATTCAACAAATAATAATAACCACAAATAAGATAAATAATAATAATAATAATAATAATAATAATAATAATAATAATAATAATAATAATAATTAATCCTCAAAATTCCATAATTCAAATGGGGCATTACAATCTATCCTCCTTAAAATATTTCCGTCCTCGGAAATACGAAAGAGCACACATCACAGATAACGATAGATTCAAATGGGAATTTCCAATCACGAGGTCCGTGCACCACCCTCCGGATCTCGATTCAGTTCCCATGAGCCCTATCGCCTTATACTCGAAAGGCATGTACTCACATACAGGAACCAACCCGACTAGCCCATGCTCATATGTTTACCTTCTTACTTGGGAGGGTGATCAGTCCTGCCCGAGCTCAGGCGTACATCTTCTTNAAGTAGCTGAGAATCATAAGTTAACAGCAGTTTCTGCAAATAGAAGCTGAAAGTCGAATTCATTCGTTCAGTGTGTGGTAAAAGTCACTAACTACTTTTCTTTCAGCCAAAAGTCGAGGATCACTTCCGAGACAAGCAGTCCCTAAAGACTTAATTCAAAAGCATGATGATTTTTTTTTATTTTATTTTTTTTCCAGAAAGTATATGATTGAAATACAAAAAACAGAACAAGATGATCAAGGAACTAAGAGCTGGAAAGTGTTGGTGTTTTGTAAATAAAATAAAACCCACGCAAGAGATGGAATTGAAAAATATAAATCACTCATCTTTTCCACTTTTAGATTCTGATACATAACAAATATCAAAAGGGAATTCCAAACGGGCCTTACCTGCAGCCCAAAATTACTGGCATTACAGTGATGAATACCCTCCTCAACCGACCCAATCCTAATGACAGGCAAAACGGGCCCAAATGGCTCCTCCCACGCTATCCTCATATCGGGCCTGACGTGATCCAACAACAGCGGCCAAATAAGGTTTCCATCCCTTTTATACTCCTGACAAAAAGTAGCTCCTTTCTGCCGAGCATCCATCACAAGACCTTCTATGAAGTTGGCCGATGACTCCGAAACCACCGGAGTGATGTCACAGTCGTTCTCTGGCGGGCCCACGGTCAGCTTCGCCACCCTCGACTTCACCTTCTCCACCAGCTCATCAGCCACCGACTCCATCACTAGGACCACCTTAACTGCCGTGCACCTCTGACCACTGTAATAAAAATTTTCGGAAAAAAAAAAAAAAAAATAATTTGCTAAGGTTTTTTATTTTGTAATAAAAAGTTTTGAATTGAGTTGTTTTTTATAAGGTTTTCCTTATTTTTGTACCTGTAAGAAAATCCACCCTTGATGATGTTAGCTGCCACGAGGTCCAAGTCAGCGTCTTCAAGCACGATGCACGCGTCTTTTCCTCCGAGCTCCATCTGCAGAGGGACCATGCCCGCCTTCTTTGAAATCGAAATTCCCGTGTCCCCACCCGTGAAACTGCATAAAAATAATAAAATAATTAACTATATAGATACAATGTCTTCGATTTATAGCCAAGTAGTAGCAAATGCAAACATGAAATATAGTAAGGGTAATTGTGTCATTTCACATGAACGATTTTTGGTACTAAGGGTAATTGTGTCATTTCAGAGGACAAAAGGACAAAATGACTATTATTTCATACTTCTACAACAATAATACCAGGAACGATTTTTGGTAGTAAGGGCAATTGTGTCATTTCACAAGGCAGAAAGGCTATTATTCATACTTCCACAAAAAAAAAGTGGCTATTTTTTTTTTTTTTAATCTTTTGATAAGCTACACGACGATTTAGTGATATTATTACCACATAGTAAATTAGAAGAATCCTATGTAGTGAAATTGCTATGAATGACAAGTGACCGTTTTTTTACCTAATACAGTTCACACCGGGATGCATTGTCAAAAAGTCGCCGATTTCCGAGCCTTTGCCGGTGATGCAGCTGATGAGGCCTTTCGGAAAACCAGCTAAGTGGAAGCAGTGTACCATGTGGAGGCAAGCCACAGCACCCTATGTATTAGAAACGTAAATTTAGTTATTTCGGTTAATCAAACGGATAATATAAGCTATGAGTGTACACAGCATATAAGTAAGTACCTGAGTTGGAGGCTTGAGGACAAGAGAGTTCCCGGCAATGAGGGCAGGTGCGATTTTCGAGACAGCTAAGTTGACCGGGTAGTTAAATGGCGGGATTGCTAAAACGACCCCAAGTGGAATCTGTTAAAACAATAGTTGAACATAAATGATAATGTTTGATAATGTTAATGTTAGTTAGTTTCTTCATTGTTAAATTTGGCTACAAAAGGGCTTCCTCAATTGTTAAGTGTTCAGCGATAAACATTCAGTGTCTAATTCGGGAGCTGAAAATTCTGCTTTATAATAACATTTTAACATATCCTAATACTACTAACTCTATTCTTGAAACTCCGTTAAAATCCCAAAACGCAAACATGTAAAAAACGAGATACGAGGATTAATCCGTATATATTTGTACCTTGGACGTGAGACAATACTTGGTTCTCTCATTCCCAGGGAAACTATCAGACACCAAGAATGTGCCCTCTCCTAAAAGTCTTACTCCTTCTTCAGCACAATAAGAAACCAGATCACCCGACCTAACAACCTGCATTAGTATTTCCAAATTTATGAAACTAACCAAATAAATCAATACATCATTTCCTAAAAAGAACTTGAAAAAAAAAAAATAAAAAAAAAAATAGGAGGAACCTCAGTGACAGCATCTTTTGCAGGCTTCGCAATTTCCTTGACCAAAGCTTCGGCTATGGGAACTTTGTGCTCTTTAAGGATGGCAGCCGCTTTGTGGAGGAGCTCTGCCCGTTTCCATAGAGGAGTTTTCGCCCATGATTTTTGAGCTGCTTTCGCAATTTCCATTACCTTGTTCACCTCTTCTTGTGTACAAGCTGAAGATCAATCACATTCAGATCATTCATTAGGAAATTTGTTCGCGTTTTGCTTCTACAAATTAATTTCTTGTTTCGAAAACTTGTTTTCTAGCTAGTAAAATTAGAAATGAGCAAGATTTGACTCGATTAACAATAAGGTTACAATTTATTTGATTTAAACGATCAAGTGCAACTCGTTCTATGACGAACAAGGTTTAGTGTAACGATCTGAGATTTTCAAGGGACATTGAGTAGGATTTCTTATTTCTTCACTTATACATCTTTCATTATTACAATTTGCAGTGGAAATTGTAAATCGCAAGTAAATAAGCCAAAACAGAGCAATAAATTATATTTTCCCAATGTGAAATCAACAAAATCCACAAACACATCGAAGGAATTAAAATCAGTTTACACACTACAGTCACAATCTCAAGCTACATACAACTCACACACATGCAATTTGAACACAATTTGATATCATGCAAAGGCCAAAGAGACATATAATACTAATTACCTCAAAAAAATGCAAACAAATACAAAAGACCGATTAATTACATGTAATTTTTTACCTTGAACCTTGTACTGAGTCTTTCTTGTGGTGGGGTTAACAATGGCGACGGACTTGCCGGAGGAAGACTTTTTCCACTCTCCATCGCCGTAGTATTTGAACACGTCACCCTCGATTATCTCGGAAAAAGCTCCGGTGCCCGCCATTGAAGCTCCTAGCAAAGAGCTTTAGCCCTTGTTCACAAGAGCAAGGGATAAAATGATCACTGGTGGTGGAGAAAAAAGAGTGACAAAATTCTTGATTTTTTTCGTCAGAATTAATGAGTTGTGGTGGTTTGGAGTGAGTGTCTGTATAAGTACTGTCATCTTTTATTCATTTTTTGTTTTGATTTTTTTCAACTTTTTCCTTTTTTTTTCCTTTTGGAGGAAGGTGAACCACAATTAATCATGGACCAATTGGGAGATAATTTTTTTTTTCTTCTTTCAATTATTTTTATATTTATACATCTATATATTTTACGGTCTTGCTATGAAGCCAACAATTGGAACTATAGTGGAGCCAATCTTCTATATACAACAAATAAACCTACCATATTAATAAAATTATATTAGTGATATTTAAGTTATCAGAGAAATAAACTTAATATAATTTTATTAATATACAACAAATAAACTTACCATATTCTATATACAACAAATAAACTTACTATACAAATAAAATTAATAAAATTCTATATACAACAAATAAACTTACTATATTCTCTGATAACTTAAATATCACTAATATAATTTTATTAATATGGTAGGTTTATTTGTTGTATATAGAAGGTTGGTTCCACTATAGAACCAACTGTTGACTTCATAGGAAAACCGATATATTTTATGCCTATGTTCTTGTCTTTAAGTTGTTGATCAAGAGTTTCAGGTTATACTTGATTCTCTTATTTGTATTAGTTAAATTTTAATTTTTTAAATGATAATTAAATATATTTTTAACAATACTACTCATTTCATCTCTTTTTTTTTTCTTACTAATCCAACCAACACAATTATAACATAAAAGTAATTAGTTTATTTTATATTTTTAAATAAAAAATACCTTTCACCCAATCCCATCTTGTTAATTATCAATCACTAATAATTAATATTTTATCAATTTTATGTCATGTCAATTTTTATCACTATATATTTAACTTATATACATTTCACTCAAATTTTATCTCTTTTTTGTAAAAAACTATTATTTTTTCCATTTCAATTTTCGCATTAGACAATTTTTCCAAAAAAAAAAAAGAAAAAAGAAGAAAAAAAATCTTATATACAATCACATTTTGGTTAATAGTTACCTAACTTTCTTATCAGCATATTCCATGAGGCAAGTTTTATCCTTTTTCTCTAACGGAGGAAAGCATAAGTTGGAGACATAAAACTGTATGCTGTGTTAGGGAAGATATACACTTTTCAGAATTATGAGTAAATAATATGTGATTACTCAACACAGTAGATAAAGATCATGCTTTTTAATTGCAATTTTAACTACGGAGTTGAAAGATTAGCTAAAATAATTTTACATGATTCTCATAGGTTTTAATAGTTGGAAATATACAAGTTTTATTTAAGAAACCTCACTTCTCTAGTAAAAGTTTATTGTTTTGAGATGAAAAATCATATATATAAGAAACAATGTAAGTTATTATTTTGAAAATGCTCGATTATTCCCTTTGAATTACATGAATTCTATAGTGCACATCTCATGGCACAGTCTGTAAAACAAGTGTTAAGCATAACACATCAACTCTATAATACTTCAGTTCAAACATAATATATATTTGTCGAATCAATCCTGAGCATGTGCTCAGTTTGTTTCACCGTAAAACTCAACTTTTTTTTCGAACTATTTTCTTTTTTTCTTTTTTTTTTTTTCAAATCTATGAATTAATATATTGTAAAAGCATTGATTATAAGTGTCCTTTAGGTCAATCAAATACAAGTACAACCCTATATACCTTGATTAATTGATTGTGCATAATGACTTAAACAAGACAATAATTTAAGCGAAACCCCCCGCTAAAGTTCATATGTCAATTAGCTCAAATTTAAAAATAATGGTTTGATTTGCTAGAAATAGAAATTGGACCAAAGGGACTAACAAAATTAAAAGTGACCGAATAATTTTCAACTTTTCTTTTTACAATATAATACTCTACTAGTTATGATCCCCGAAGATGTTGGAACAGCGTGTACCAGTCTTGAACAGTATGGAGAGCATACGAACAAAATCCAAGAAATTGCTTATCTATCCCCACTCCTTAATTACTGCCCGAAAGAATGGGACTTAGTACCTTATCTAACCACATTATTCGAGCAATCCCATTTCTCATCTCCAAATTATTTTGCACTAGTAAACTTTAGCTTGAAAGAGGCCTCGAGGCTCACGTGACTAAAATTTATTATTTTTCTTTTTAGGGAAACATGAATAGACTTAAAATGTGATTCTAAGTTTATATGTGGAAACATAAAAAAAAAAAAAAGTATTATTCGCTCCGATTTAGTGTATTTAAAATATCAAATATTAAATAAAAGTTGTTGTATGTTAAAGATGTTTGTCATAAATGGAGAAGTTACGCCTTTCAAAAATATATTTCACGTGTCTCGACTTTTCTTTTTTTCAAGCACTTCCTTCTCAACCAGCAGATTGCGTTAGCTGTTTTGACTGGTTGATTGTGTTGACGGTCTGTAAAAAAGTATTTGGTAAAATTAGTTATATTTAATTAATTGTTAATATGTGAAGTTACTCATAAAAAGATCAACATACTTTATCATTCTTATTTATGTTGAACTTATGATTATTTAGAAAATATAAATAATTAATATTTATTAAAGCGAATTAAAATATAATAAGATTATATCTTATCATTTTTATTTATGTTGAACTTATAATTGTTTGGGCGTTCTTACAAAATAAGTGCAAAATCAAATTGGTATGAAGATAACCGTGGACCAATATTGTGGAGATAACGATTAGACATTCATACATTTTTAAATAAATATTCGTATTCACATTATAAAACATATCATATTTGTAAAATAATAAAAAATAAAATATGATGCTTTACATTATAATTTTAAATTTTTTATTGAAAAAAGCACGTGGGATCGGACAACCCAACGGTTGGAGCAAATCTTCAAATGACCTCAAAATCAATATGGTTGCACACGAGAAGTAGATGGATATATAGAAATGAATTAAATTATATTCTACAATAAACTTAATACAATTTCTCCCATTCCTCCAATTTCACAATTAAAAGCAAGTATGGGGAGTCAGATGTAAATTTAAGTTGAGCATGGTAGTTGAGTCAAATTTGTGGCTGAAAATTTAGGCGGTACCTAGTTCTGGTGAGTATTTGGTTACAACACATCATTTGCTGAAAGAGAGCCACAAGATGTGAAAACATTATAGCCCACTAGATAGCTTTAGGTAATTTTTTGGACCACATCTGTTAACTTCAAAGGCCAAGCCCATGGGCCCATTTGATTTGAAGTCCTATTTGTATTGATTTATATGCATTTTCAAGTATTTTATGAAACTATGAAGTACTAATTAAATTAATGTCTTATTCTCTAAGACTCTCTCTTTTACCCCCTATAAATAAGGCTCTNAGAACTCTTTTGAAGATGCTCAAGTTTAAGATCAGTGTTCAATCCAGAATCGAGCGTCCGAGCCTACCTTTACCGGAGAAGAAGGCCAGGAAAAAGAAAAAGAGGCGGCGATTCTTCTCCAAGAAGTAAAGAGACGACATTCACCCATCTCAAATCAATCCAAGAACATTAATGACGTTCAAGCAACATTCTAACGCATTCGTTGAGAAGTTCAACCAACATAACGATTGATCCAAGAAAAACTATCAAATCTTGGAGTCAATGTTGTTCAAGTTAAAATTTTGCACACCCAGTGGGACCAAAATATAATTTGTTGTTACACTATTTTTACATTACATCAACTTTAGTCATTACATTAACTCATATTCACTCACAAATTCAAAATTCAATCCAAAAGTCTACTAATTTTTTAAATTTTATTTAACCCACTTTGTTTAATAAATCCACTTTAAATAACAAAAATTATTTCCAATCATTCTTTGTCTTTTATCTTTTATTTTTCTTTCTCTCAACGATATAAATTTTATAAAAAACACATAAATTACAATCTACAAAACAACCAAAAGCTGAAAGGGACAACTAAAAAGCCGAATGGGAGGACAATCTAAAGATCGCCTAGAAACTACGTTAAACCCATAACAAAACAACACCCCCACAAACTAAACACAAAGAAGCTCCAATCTCAAACATGATAGATGTGGTAGGCTTAACGGAATGATTATAATTTGGTGAGATATTTGTATTTCAATTATGAGCACATACTAAACATAAGGGTGACATGTACTTTCACTCGATATAGTACAATATAATTATATTCATATATTTTTATTATAAAAAATACATAATTACATCTAGACAACGACCAGAAATAGTCAAACATCCACTTAGCTGAATCTAGTGAGAGGACAACTCATAGGGCAACCTAGACACCACAACACACTCACGAGAACAAAAAAATCCTAAAAGGATAAAAAACACACACAAAGCTCTGATTCACACAAACATCCACAAAACAACAACACAAACAATACAAAACCCACAACACCTAAAACAACAAAAGCACACAAGAACAAAAACAAAACAGAACCAAACTAGCCCTCCCAGTAGTCGGCCATCGTCCCAACACAACACCGCACAAGACGAGAGCCGACGACGACACTTCCAAGACAGGCCAAAGCTCGGGACGCAACATATTCACTCCCTTCACCCAAAGATGATGGGCTAACATAGATCCACCCCAAACGAGCCAAGGACCAACTCGGAACCGCACCTGAGAGGACCACACCAACCCCTACCCCACACAGTCGTGACTAGAGCCCTCAAAACCGGCCGAAAGGCTCCAATTAGACAGAAGGCCCCATCTCTAACCCCAGAAGACGTGGCAAACCAGGGGGAGGAGCCGACGTAGGCCTGAATCCTGCCCATCGGAGGCCCAACAGACTGAACCTGCCGCCCTGCCCTCACCGCTGGAGAGCCGCCCTAAAGCATCACCGCAGCCGCCCAATCTGAGGGGAAGCGCCACACTGGAAAATACGAACTCAATAGAGGAAAGAAAGGCGGAGGCCACGCTCGGACTAGAGCTGTCAAAACGGGCCGACGGGGCGGGCCGGCCCGTTGCCCGCTAAATCCTGCCATTTGGCGGGCCAGGCCCGCTAATTGTTTTTCTTTTTTTTTTTAAACAAAAAAAAATAACACAACATCACCAAAATGATTTGCAAATTGTCTTTTCGATGGGTTGGGCTGGACCGTATAATAAATTGTCCATTAACCTAGGTCCGAGTCCGAAAATCGATCTGCCTGCGCCTATTTATGCGTGCTGCTCTCTTTTTTTCTTCCTGAACTGTTCAGCCCGCCCCACATACAGAGAATAGCAGTCATGTCTCTGAATCTTAAATCAAAATTGAAACCCCTCTTGAATATTGTGTAGAACCTTTTCTACCGCTCCTCTCCCCGTCATAACAAATTTATGTTAAATTGGAGTTTGAGCTTTGGGATTTGTGTGGAACGTGGAGGATAAGGATTCAGGAGATGAGAATTGGAATTTGGAGGTATGTGGAGGAGATGAGAATTGGAATTTATGTTAATAATTGACGGGCCAGCCCGCGGACTAGCGCGCGCCCGTGAGTCAAATTGACAGCTCTAGTTAGGAGACCGATTCCTAATTCAAACGAGCTGTCCGGTCCAATATTTACAACCGCGGTTTAACATCAAATAAATATATGGGCAAAAACATATAATAATAAGGAACGGGTATTTTATTCCAGATAATAATACAAACAGCACAACTACTGCCTTGCTCTATAGGAGCATATAAGAGCAGCAAACATATCAATACAAGTACACAACTCAAGCTTCACAACAACATCAAACACAAACTTTTTGCACCGTTCCTTGTTCCGAGCAATCAACTGATCATAAGCCTCACATATCACGAACACATGAGCTTTGACATGCAGGGATAAGAAAATGGGGAAAGTGGACGAATGCAATGGTATACGGATTAACCGTTATGGGCTTCGAGTTGGCTACTTGCTTGGGCTTCAACGAAGGTATAGCGCCACTTGGGCCTACAAATAGTGGCTTCCCGTTAAGCAAAACTGTCCGGCTCTGCAACTTCCTATCCATTGGGCTCAAGTGGTATTCTTCTCTGATAAACAATAAGTTGTTTTTTTTTATTTTGCTCATTTATTTCTTACAAATAATTAATATACAATTTAATAACTAATCGTAACATCCATTACTTGTTTGTGAGTTGCGACATAGTAAAGGTAAAGATTTACAGGTTGTGCTCGAAGAGATTCAAAGCAGAAACTATTTTTCAAATTCAATTTATAAGATTGTAGAAAATAAATATTTTTATCTAAGCATATGGAGGACACTCGCCCGTGCGGACATGCTTGACCAGCACGAGCGTGCTCCTTGCCATGCCTGCGAAGCTAAAAATTTGCGTCCCGCGGAATTTCTCACCGAATGTGTTGGTGTTTTCATGTGTTTTAGCAAAGAGTATTAATATATTAAGTCATTTTCATTTTGAACTTTCGTTCTAGTATTTTATTTTCCTTTTCAGAGTATTTGTCTTAAATTTTTTTTCTCTCTATCTTTTAATATCACTCTTGGGAGTTCCAAGACTCGACTTTTGATGTTCCCATTTTTATTCAAGTTTCTAACTTTTCACTTCGATTTCCTTCGTGCAATAGAATGGTGAATATCTAGTTGTATGATTCATTACTTTGTATTTGCTTCTTTTCTATTTATGAAGTTTTTTGAGTTAAATTTGGTGTCTTGCGTTGATCATTATTAAATGTTGAGACTTTGTTTAATGCTTAATCATTTAGGTTAAGATAATTTAGCATTAATTGCGTGCTTATCGACTATTAAATGTTAAGACTTTACTTAAAGTTTAATCATTAAGGTTAGAAGAATCATTTTTAATATTGCAGGATCTTAGTACTCGTATATTTTCTTTGATATGTTTTCGTTTTGCTGATTGGAGACTCGTGTAGTTAAATTCGTCTTCAGTAAGTTTTAATTTTTTTTGCTTTGTTTTGTTTTGCTCGAGTATTGAAGGCTCAAATTGTAGTTAAATGGGAAGTTATAATAATCACACTTAATAGTAATCACTTTTAATTTTTAATTTAGTTTAGCTCAAAATCAACCTGTTAGAATGTTTATAACTTTTATTTTTAAACTTGGCTAGAACAACCATCCTTATATGAGAACCTTTTATTTTCTACACTTTTTTAAACACAAATCTTCTTCTCACATTTTATTCACAAAACAAATCAGACTAGATCTTACTCATAACCAACACTCGCACGCGACCATCGAAATCCTTGACATTGTTAATGCTTCATCTAATCCGACCAACTACCGGAGATAAAACTAGTTTGCCTATTTCAATATTTTGTCTATTTATCTACGTGATTAGTTATACTATATACATATATTTATTTAAAGAACTTATGACAATATTTTCATGTAAAATAATAACAATTTTGAATAACAAAAATTGCATAATTACACACTATTCTTGCTATTATATTTGAAAACTAAAAAAAGAAAGATGTATTATCTATTTTAATCTTGTGTCCACCTTTCACTACTAGAATTACCTAGAATTTTGGAAATACTCATAATTTTGTTTAGCAGAATGTTAAATGTAATATTTTAGATATTTCTGCATAAAATGTATACATATAAAGCTATTATATTTACTCGAAAAAAAAATGAGCGTATTTATCGATTTAGGCGTGTTCCAATTCGGATGCTCCAAAGACAAGCCGTTGTTGCTTATGATAATTGATATACAAAAAGAGATACAATTAGGTACTGGTGACAAATAATTTGAAAGATATGGTCCATGCAGATATGTGTGGGCTACAAATTGTTTACTACATTAGAAGCCTAATATCCCATTGGGCTTTATTAAACACTAATGCGTGGCCCGTACGATGCACGGAAAAATAATATTACGATTGTATTATAAATTAAATATAGAAATAACATTAATCATGATTTATCCATTGTTTTTAAATTAAACCGAGTTGGACACAATCTGACCGGATGGACGAGAACTGGTTTATAAACAGTCTAGTTCGCTTGAATAAAATATTTGCTCTCAAATCCGTCAACACCAGTCGGTTGGATTGGTAGGATCGATACGATTTTCTAAATAAATTTTGTTATATTTAAAATTATTTTAAATAAAATTACATATTTAAATAAAATAGAGGTTTATAAATTATTTATCAATTAGTTTAAACATTTGAATTTATAAATTGTTTAGACATCTAAGTAACACACTTTATTTAAATTTATTACAAAAAGTACTATATATATATATATACATATATAATAAAATGTTTACAAATTAAAATCTGAACAAACCACAAATGATTTAATAAAATAGCTTGATCGTTTCGATGACGGTCCATTTCTGAAAACTTTATATTTACTATACATTAATAAATATTATAATAAAATATATTTAATTCACATAAATATTAATAAAATGATATATAAATATTCATCATTAAACATGTTGTCATAAAAGTATTGTTAATACGACTATTTGAAGTTTGGACTATATCACATTCACGTAATAAAATATTTTTAATATAAAATTTATATTTAGGTTCCATAATCGATTTTGTGTGGTCGAACTGATACATAACTTAGTCACCTGGGATCAACCAAGTTGTGTCAATTTTTTTGACTATTTTAAATATCACCTAAAAGTAATTCAATTAACCTGGGCAGTACCCTAATTCAATCACACGATTGATCTGAAGAAATTTTCTTATTTTCTTTAAATATATTTAATTTTATAAAATAAAAATATTTTATGATTCATAAAATAAATGTCTACACCAAATGATGGTATATTAAGATTATAAATTATATACCTAAAGATGAATTAATTATTTGTACTTTATGCATATTAATAAAAAATAAACATAGTAATTTTCAAAAAATTCAGATTAATTGATTGATTATGCAATTTAAAGAATATTTTAGCGTTCAATATTTTTTGTAAAGGCACAAATATAAAGACCGAGATTCTAAAATTTTTGTTATATTTTGAATTGAGATTTTATAAATATAGAGACCGATATTTTAATGTTGTTCGTTGTTTCTAAGAAAAAAATAAAAATAAAAGCATACACACTTAATAAATCTTAGCCAAATTTTTTAAATAATAAAATGAACTAAATCCCGAAATTTAAGGTAACATTTAATGATGTATGATTTTGAAAGAAAAATAATAAAACTTACTATTTATAGGTTGCATTAAATTCTGACCTATTTTTTTGCTACTATTTTTGATAAATGGTAATTCTTATATATATATATATATATATATATATATATGTATATAGATATAGATTATTGCTTTATAAGTAAAATCGACTGAATTTGTTGTCTTTTATTTTTTTCGTCGATGGATGAATGGATGGATGTGAATAGTTATATTTGTTGTATATTTTTTTTTATATGAATGGAATGTTATGTATTAATGTTGATACGTATATAGTGGTAGTGATAGTCTAGATTAACGTTAAACAATGACTAAATTAGAAAACATTAAAAAAAGATAAGTAATTAAGTAAACAATGATAAAATACTTTTATTTATTCTAGCAGTCTGCATGTGTGTATAAAAATATGTAAAATACATATTTTGATATGGATTGTATTATGAGGAATCAACAAATTCCTTTATTTTAGGAGATATCAAATTCCAATTTGTATTTCAAATTAGATTCTCAAATTTGTAGACTGCATAAGTCATAAAGGCTGATTCGGCTTATTCAGTTTTATGTAAAAAATAAAATTAAAAAAAATCCGAATTTAATGGTATTGATATATGGGATTGTATGATGGGGGAATAAACAAATTCCTTTATTTTAGGATATATCCGATTTC